CTTACAGCGGCATCGTTGGAGGGCTTTGGTGCTACGTGCCGGCGTGTAGGGGAGACATGAGTCGGGCGTGTACGAGGTTGAAAACATTTCAACCCTCTGAAATGAAAGTTAAAATACATGTAAAGGCCTAGCAGAAATGATAACTAAACTGCACTGGTACTCTTTGGAGGTATCTCTTGCTGCCGTTGAAAACTTGTTTGAATTCACACGCCACCCCAAAAAAACTTTCTCGAAAAGAAGAGTGGAAATTAACGAAAGGGCTAAAAGTGAACGGCATGGAGGTTAGATGGTTCTCAGAACCGTCACGGTTGAACCGGGGCCCTCCGATGGGGCTATTGGGAGTTCGTTTCAAGTGACTCGCCACCCGGTGACCGTGACCGTGAGGCGCCGGGCTCTCAGTCAGAGTCTTTGTCAGTGAACGCGGCGGGCAGGCGGCCGATTTGACTATCGGCACTGGACGGGACGGTTTGCGGCAAGACTCGGACCCGCGGAGACGGGCCGTCCCGGCGGTCGCCGCTAAGCGAAATCGAGTCCGATCGTTGAACACCGATTTTTGGATCATTCAGATCTACCGGGTTGGGCAATGATCGCATTCGAGCCACGGTGTGGATATTGTTGCAATGTCCCGACTTCTTCGTTATTAACTTAGTTTCTCAACTTGCCAACGGTTGCCACGGGTTTGTGTCATTGTTTCACGGTCTCTTCATGTCTTGTAGGTCGTCCGAATTGTGTCAGTCTCATCATGTCTTGTAGGTTGTCATCTTGATCGTGTCTTATACTAGTAGACGGTTGTCATTGTTTCAGTCTCTTCATGTCTTGTAGGTTGTCATTGTTTCAGTCTCTTCATGTCTTGTAGGTTGTCATTGTGTCAGTCTCATCATGTCTTGTAGGTTGTCATTGTGTCAGTCTCTTCATGTCTTGTAGGTTGTCATTGTTTCAGTCTCATCATGTCTTGTAGGTTGTCATTGTGTCAGTCTCATCATGTCTTGTAGGTTGTCATTGTGTCAGTCTCATCATGTCTTGTAGGTTGTCATTGTGTCAGTCTCATCATGTCTTGTAGGTTGTCATTGTGTCAGTCTCTTCATGTCTTGTAGGTTGTCATTGTGTCAGTCTCATCATGTCTTGTAGGTTGTCATTGTTTCAGTCTCATCATGTCTTGTAGGTTGTCATTGTTTCAGTCTCATCATGTCTTGTAGGTTGTCATTGTTTCAGTCTCATCATGTCTTGTAGGTTGTCATTGTTTCAGTCTCATCATGTCTTGTAGGTTGTCATTGTTTCAGTCTCTTCATGTCTTGTAGGTTGTCATTTTTGTTTCACTTCTCTTGTTCCTTTGATCGTACAGGCTGTTCAAACCACCCTACCCTCTTGAAATTTGAATTTTCTGACCTGCTGGTGGGTAGTTCAAGGCAAAAGGACCCCTAGTGTCGATTATGCTGTAGAGATGGCCAAGTCATGCCATCTTCATAGTGGGTAGGGTAGTATAACCCACCATGGGTGAGTTGTCGATTTTGAGGGTGGGGGTATATACCCCCTACCTACACCCACGAGGGATGTCAACGTGGTATACCCACCCTGGTCAGCAAACGAGCCCCGTTCATGCCCACGTCAGGGGGCTGAGCATGGAAGGGAGGCAGCGGAGAGGACGGCAGCAGAGGAGACATGCAGTAGCAGCAGGAGAACGTAGATAGGAGACAAGGATGGTGGTGATGGTGCTAGGGGAGTTGTTGCAGTCGCTATGGCGATGAGAGAGGAACAGAAAGCGTGGCGGAGACGAACACGAGGGGAGGAGGTAAGGAGGGAGGGGAACAGGAAAAGTCTACGAGGGTTGAGAAGACGAAGTGATGTACACAAATCCAAGAGCAGAATTCAATTGAATCCATAGATCATAACCTTAGTGTTTTGTCTGGAACGCGAAAGGATCGAAAATGCTCGGATGAGCGTGAAAGAGGAGGCTCTCTGCTCTCATTTTCTCCTGCCTGACCGTAATAAGGAGAGACGATTGTTAAGTGTGAAGGAGACGAAAGAGATGATACAAGACTAGGTTGTGACATTAAGGGAAACAAATTTGAGGTTGTGATTGCTGAGCCCTCAGCCTTCTGGCTCTCTAGCACCGGATCTAGTAGATCAATCCTTGTTGGTGTTGTAGATCGAGAGTGAAGCATGTAGCTTTCTGCTCATCACGTGGATGAAGTTTTCTGCTCATGACGTCTCTGATCTTGTTCTCTGCACAGTTGACAGATGACGGGTTGACTAGTTGGCCTCCAATCCAGACAGTCCAGCTCGAAAGCATTGAGAGGAGAGGTACAAGAGAGGAGACAGGAAGGGGAAAGACTCACCCTAGTCAGCCGGCAGGGGGAGGCGCTGCAAAGTCAAGAACGGCGATCTATTTACACAGCACTCGTATGGAGAGCACCTCGCAAGACTTCGCGTGTGCTCACAGATGGGTACCCACCAACGAGACCGTCTACAGGCTCAGCCCCAGGCTGCGGTGGATCCTCCTGTACTGGTTCGTCTCCATCATCTTCATGGACTACATCAACACCTTCGGGTACGACCGAGTGCCCATGAACTCTCCTCCTCTCCCGGACATCGGCTTCGACGCCATCGCCAAGGTGTCTGGCAGTGAGGCCCCGGTGTCGCTGCCTTTCAACCCCACGGACTTCGCCACGATCTGCATCTGCGCTTCAGTGATCCTGCTGTCAATCTACGAGTGGCGGACGTGTCGGAACAGGAAGCTGAAGCACCTCTTCGCCATCTACGCCATCCTCATGAATATGCGGACAGTCACTATCATCTCCACCACCCTCCCCATCCCCTACACCAAGGGCCCCTGCCGAGACGACCATCGGCCCATCACCAACAGGTTCCTGACGGGGCTGGGATATGCCTTTGCGCTGGGGTTCAAGCAGTTCCTGTCGACGCCTCAGTGCGGGGACCTGATCTTTTCCGGTCACACCACCTTCATGTGGATCTTCACCCTCCACCTCCTGCGTCACGCCAGCATCCTCACAACAGTCGGAATAAAGCGACGCCGGGTCTACCCTTGAGCTGCGTGTCGTCTCAAAAAAACGGAAAGCACCTCCTTTTTTCT